CAATCCTCCCCCCGCATCGCCCCCTCCCCATCCCCCATCGCCCCATCCCCCCTCCCCATCCCCCCTCCGCCCATGTCCCTCATTCGCCCAGTCGTCCAAAGTTCGCGAGCGCACGTTCGGTCGGGCGCGATCGGATTTGTGCCGGGCAGCCTCGATAAATGGATAACGCGCCGAGGCGGAGACGCTGGGATTTAGCGCGGTGAGCGCGTTATCGCGATTGGGAATTAACGCGCGGGCGTTTCTTTGGTGCGAGGCGAGCACGAGCTTGAACGACGAATTTTGGGGAATGATTGTGTTGCGTTGGTCGGTGCGCGCGAGCATCGACTAATGATGAATTGCCGGCTTGGATTGAGAAGCTCGCGGCGATGTGCTCGTGCTCGGCTGCTCGATCGAACGTTTATTTCGTAAATACCCGCGTCTGATAATGAGCGATCCAACTACTTTAAAGCTGCCCATTTATTTGGGTTGTCGTAAACTTATCCTTGCGCTCGGTTTCCGGCTTATTTCACCAGCATTCTCAAGTAAAATTTCATGATGCACGTCAGATGGAAGTGTTGGTTGACTTTTATAATTATATAGTCGATTGAAAGATGGTTAAATAAAGAAGGGGATTTTAAAATTCAGATAAATATATGGATACGACACGGAGCGCGTTGGATATGAAAGAGTCGAAGAAATTTCAGGTTTTACTGCGTTCTGCCAGATGTAATTTGAAAATCTACCAAGAGAAGAAGCTTGTGGCAGATATGTGGAACATGGCAAGCCAAAGGGCAGCGTCATCTGTCGTAATCGAACAATTCAACATGGCTTTTGTAATAAAAGAATGCGTTTAATCACGATAAATTGTAGTCTCGACTCGTTACAGCTCTGCCCATTACTCCATGTGACGATAAAAGTACTAAAAGTGAATATCCCGCTGTTGGAGAAAACAGTCACCGAAGAAAAAAAGAAGAATAAAAAGAAAATCAAAAAAAGAAAAGAAAAAAATAATGAAAAATAAGAAAGAAATAAGGGACGAACAGATCGAAGGAGATGCGAAATCGTTCCCGCATCCAGGGAGGATCGTTCAATCGTTATGCGTGGGGCTAGGGGGACGGTGAGGGGGCGGGGGGGGGAGGCAAGCTAGGGATTTCTCGGGCGCGGCTGTTGGAATTTCAAACCGTCCGGGGGAATTTCCGATTGTTCCATTATCCTGGCTAGGAGCGGGAAGCGGAAAACAGCTCCCGACGGCTACGACGGCGAATCATCGAGGAGACGAATCATTTCGATCTTACGAGTATCCGCCTTTCCGCTTAAAAATAGTCTAGATAGGTTGTTAACGAGCCGTTGCGCGATAAGCGGCGTGCGATTAAATAAAGGAAACGCGAAAAAAGTAAGGTAGGTTGCGAGGACGGGAAATTCACCAGGCACGTGCCCCGGTCACGCTCGGTGAAACAAAGACGACGACCCGAAAACCGCCGCGCTTTCCCGTCCTTCCGCTCCCACCGCCTCTCGAGGAAAAACAACCGAAGGCCTTTTTATCGCTCGTAGAAGCGACGGTAGCGGTGCGGGGACAGGAAAAGCAAACACTGCCGCGTGCCGCCCGTCGCTCTCGCTTTGGAATTTCGCACTCACTCACACAAGCTTATAGAGCGCGCGCTCGGGAGTAAGTGAGCGAGAGAGAGAGAGAGAGAGAGAGAGAGAGATTGAGAGAATGAGAGAGAGAGAAAGAGAGAGAGAGCGAGCGAGCGAATGAAAGAGA